AATGCATATGCATTCACGCTTTGGGCTTTTGGGGGTGGTGGCTCGCCGCAGGTTCTTTTTCTTCTATGTGTGGGGTAAACTGCTGCTCTGCATTCTTGTTGCAGCCTTGTCGGTCACTCATTTGGCCAAGGTATGGTTCACCCTCAGACTTGCTCGCGTACACTTGCCGGACTGAAGGGACCCATAGCTGACTGATTACGAATTCTTTTTTCTGCAGTGCGATGATGCGTTCTCGTGCAGCCCCGGATCCTTCCTGGTGATTGTGATCTGTGGCCTTTTCAGCTTGAGCCTGTCGGCGTTAGCTCTGATGCATCTGGCCTTGGTGTTCCAAGAAATGACTACCAACGAGGACCTACGGTCACGGTTCTCGCGCAACCCATTTAGCCACGGCAGCGTCTGGGCGAACATCGCCTTTGTGCTGTGCGGGCCCCGACTACCGAGTCGTGTCATGGGCCCACAGGCCTTGGAAGAAGGCAATCCTGTTAGCTGGCAATATAAATTTTTGCCACCACCTGAACGTGCCATTGAGACTACTCAGCCCCCGTCGGGTAGGGACGAAGTGCTGTCAACGACGGCCGTCAGTGTCAAGGAACACGCAGAAGACGGGGTGGTAGCACCCCACGCGCACGTTGCGGACAGCAACACTCTTCACAGTAATGAACAAGATGAAGAGAATGATGCAGCAACAACTCTAACTGATCGGAGCAAGGGAAGCACAGGGCAAGAGGAATCAATCCAGGTGACAGTAGATGGAGGTTTAGACGATGAAGAGGACGACGAGAGCCAGGAAGCCACGCCGCTCTTCACGCGAGGCTCAGCCTCATTATGATTGGCGCTTGGCCTTTTTCGTTTCTAAGCGTACGTGTCCAATGACGTTAATTGAATGCTGGCAAGTCTATGTGCCCCAAAACATCGCGCGACTGCACTCAAATGACCAAACGTTCAGGCACATACTGCTCTCAGAGGATACTTCATTCACTTGTTGCATTTCGCTCCAAATCTGTTCGTCTTCGTTCACGTTGGCATTCGGATCACCCAGCACGGCGCCGTTGGTCAAAGCCACAACGCTTTGCTGTTGCTTCAAGTAAAACTTGCTGACAAGGCGTCGCGACTCAATCTCAAACAAGCGAACGTTGCTGCACAATCCGTCGGTGAGAAAGGAGCAGGGCCACCAAGCGCGGGCCACAGCACAGGTAACTGGAACCAGAGGCTGCGAAACGTACCGATCGAGGCTGGCCGAGACGACAAGATCAAGGGAGGCGTGGCAGCAAATGCTTCGAATGGCTCCGGCATGTCCTTTGAATGTACCCTTGCGCTGGCCTGTGGCAGATGACATGAAATGTCAAACGGGCGAGGTAGGACAGGTTATGCACACCGAGCGCTCATCCTACCTGTTGGGATGTCTACCAAAGTCATGTTGCCCATCACGTCGCCTACGACAGCATAACTATTCTCGCCAAAGTGCCATATCATTCATCCTCCCCAGCAGTGTACGGATGATGTTGACTGTCAAACTATGTGTCGGCGTAACGATGTCAGCCCTTTCCAACCGCGCTTACCGCCCGTCAGGAGATACGTCCACGGCGCTGAGGGCAGCGTCGTTGAATTGGACGCTAAGCATGGTAGCAGCAAAAGGCAAGTGCCAATGAGCACGCAAGAGGTGAATCAACACGAGTATGACATGCAAGTTAGCCATGGTCATGGGTGCCATGCGTTGTGAGCTCGATTTTTCGAACGAACCTATACAGAGGGCGAGCCTTTTCACTGGTATCGTACAGGCGCACCTACGCGTCGGGTATCCACTGGATGAGGATCCAATCGAATGAAAACGGCAGGAGAATCACCCAAGCCTCGACTCACGTGGCGGTGGGCAGAGACGGTGATCAGTTGAGTCGCGTTTACCCAGCGAATGCCCCGGATGTCAATGGGAACCTGCAGGTTGAACTTGTCGTTCTTCACCTACAAGGCAAGAGCGCAAAGATTGTCAGGGGCGCAAGCAGGTGATACTCGATGTAGCGCTGTGATTGCAGTGCCGCGCCTACATTTTTGGCGCGCCACTTGGGCTGCTTAATGTCATCCAGATCCCATACACGCAAATCTGCTTTCTACAAGGAGCATGCACGCCAGAGGAAACGGCCATGGTTACGTGGGCAACTTCAACGGGCAACAAGTAGGTGCCACATACCTCACCGCCCACCGCCAATAGGGATGGCTTCTCACGCGAGAGGCGCAGGCAGTTGACGTGTGTATGCGCAGTAAAATCCTCCTGCGTGATGCAAAGATGGAAAAAGTCATCAAGGAACGGCCGAGGGAGAAGCTGCATTCAGGCGCGGGGCAAGCGGAGGTGTGCTTGGACAAACCTGTTCAAGACCATCATGATTGTACACCTTAACCTGACCTTTTTGCAGCGCCACGGCTACATAGCTAAGCCAGCGATGGTATTTCAATTAGACAGGTCTTGAGCTGTGAGAAACCCTAGGTCCAGCAGGGGCTAACCTCTCATTCACGTCAAGGTCCACCAAGCCCTCGAGGTCTGTCAAGAAAATGGACATTTGAGAGGGGTTGCAATCTTCATAGACCTCAACGTGTCCATCGGCTGTTCCGCAAAACAACTACAAAAACGGGCATCCGATATGAGGTCACCGCCGTTGAATCGCGCCGAGCTCGCAACCCGCCGCACCTGGTCTTGCCACACGGTCATGGCGACGATGCGCTTTTCCCGATCCTGTGTACGAGCTTTGGCCACAACATCCTTTTTCGGTGGAGCCAAGGCCTTCAAGAGTCCCGTCGCGTCGGCAGCGAGAAGGCGCACTTGCTGCTCCGACGCCTCGCTAACCTGTGCCGCCGCCGCCATTTCTGAAGGTTGGTAAGTAG